TAAGGTGCTCTTCCACTGAGGCACATTGAGGAGCCCCAGCATTTAAGGAGACACTTATCTTCTGTCAGGCAAACAAGTTTAGGGAGGAATTGTTCAGAGCGATGGGGGACACCCCTTACAGAGAGATTTAGCTGTTTCATTTCACCCTCTGTTGCTTTTTTTTATGAAGCCCTGAATCTTGTTCCTCGTGTTCTTTCTGAGGGCCGCCACACAACCAAACATTTCTACTGTCACAAGCAGAATATGTGCCAGACGACTTTCAATGAATCTTTCGCATTTGCGATGTCGTTGCCGCTTTGCAATCGCAGGTGTGACTGCTGTTCTCTCAGAAATAATTTGCTGAGAAGATGACTTCAGTGGGCTCTTCGGAGTATAGAAATGGGACATGAAGAAGCGAGAGAGAATGACGAGGTGCTGTCGTTTACAGCGTATATGTTGGGAGGGGCCCAGGCTACAGGAATCATGGAATTTAAACAACAGTCCATTACTTATCCTCTGATATGGTGCAGAGTTATAAATCCAGCCACGATGTTTGGGTGACATATAGCGCCTCCTGCATTTTATTCTCCACAAAACAATTCGGTTTCATGAAATTCCAAGACTTTCTATGGGCATTTAAGTAGCCGGCACTTTCCCTGGGAATTGTAATAGCGTTTCTATAACACATAGCAGACCAGAGCAATAAGAGAGACTTACAGAGAATGATGGCTAAGTATGTCATATTGGTACCTGGGGAAATCTTCAAAACTGAAAGGGCACTCTGAGAGATACAGTTAATGATGATCCACTGTGCACAAACATCCTTCATCAGGAAAATAAATAAATAAATGCTTTTAGATTTTCATTTTTAATTTGTTTAAAACCTCTGTTCCCATCGAGATAAAATAGTTTCCCTGGTCCTTGGAAAGGTTAAATGATAATGACAAGAGCTACCCTGTCTGTGATGCTCAAAGATCAATTTATGATTTATCGCAGTGTATTAATTCGGTTTTTTTTAAGTAACCCATGCGGAGTTCGGAGTATATATTTATATTGCAGATCTGGCCCCTGCTTTGTAATGTTTTCTGGGTATTGATTGCAATTCAACTCATCAATCCGAAAATACTCTCCCTGTTTTATAAGCTGTTAATTTGTCTAATCATCGCAGATGTTCTTCCTCCAGTTCATCACAGTCTTAGGTGACATTATACACAAATATGGATTGATATCCGTGTTTTGCTCTGTTCATCGTTACTGCAGAATTGCTTATCGTATCTATATCCTTGAACAAAATTGGGTCTCCTCATGAAAAGCGTGGCAGATGATATTTGTTTCCTGTTCTAAGATGACTGCTGACACTGACACAGGACTAGCAGCAATTAAATAAATAAAAAATAAACGAAGTGAAAACATGTATGATGAATAAAAAATGAAATTAAACGAGAAAAAGAAATGTATGAAAGCAAGGTCATGCGTTGTGTAAACGGGATGTCAGGAGGCTTCCGGCAGGCTGACGAGAAACGAGAAACCTCCTCGGCGCAATTTGGGTTTGCGTCTCCATGTTTTCCAGCGGTTCCAAAATCAAATAGCATGCGTGTCACAAGGACATACTGAACTGGGGAGATAAAACCCTTTGGCCGGCGTCTCCGGCAAAATCCTCCGCTGTCGCCGCGCAATCCGTGGCATTGCGTTACAGCTAAATGGGGGTTTTGCTCGTCCAGTGAATGATAGGAATTAAACTGGGGAAAGAGAGAGGGCCGGGGGGAGTGGTGTTGGCCGGAATGCTTGGTATTCCTGAGGTGAGGCCCCTCCGGTTTGTGGAAATTACAATCATACAGACGCTCGCTTCCTTATACGACACAAAGTGAACCAATGTCACAGTTCGCGCACCTGGCGGACAGGAGCTAATACGATTTTGATTCGCACGCCTTTTTGTCGCCTGCTTGAATTAAATCTCGAGCATCACTGCCAAAGTCTATATTTCCTTCTTCATTATTTATGAATAGTCTATTTGTGATGAAAAAGAACAAGGTGGTGAATGGAGGATTTGGTGAAAATGAATTCAGATTACAATAGGGATTATTGTGCTTTGGAAATGACAGAGGGTTTGAGTTCACGATCCCCAATTTTGAGGGCAGTAATGTGGCGCAATAGTGAGTAAATTGAACTGTGTTCAAGTCCTATATGGGCCCCACCCGTACCGAATCACAGTCCAGCTTTTAACCCGAAATTATTCTGTGAAAATATTGTGTTACGTAAACAGGAAAGAATGCGGCTGTAATTCTACCTTACATAAAAGACTGGAAATAGCCTATAAGATACCGCTAAACTTTTCGCAGCACGATGGCTCAGTGGGTAACCCCACTGCCTCACATCTGCAGGGCTGTGAGTGTGAATCACACAGCGTGTGGAGTTTGCATATTCTCCCCATTCGCATGTGTCTTCCCAGGCACACCTGTTTTATCCTACGATACAAAGACAGGCAGATATTTGGCACCACTATACACACACACACACGCACGCACACACACACACACACGCGCGCGCACACACACACACGCACGCATGCAAACACAGACACACGCGCGCGCACACACACAAACACACGCACGCACACAGACACACACGCGCGCGCACACACAGACACACACACACAAGCTTGTACTCATATCTTTATGTGGACCATCCATACATTTCTATGGGCAAAACTCTAATCTCAACAATGGCAAACTTAACCCCTATACCCAGCCCTAAAATTAACCACGAGTAACCAAACAAAATACAAACAAAATTGTGACATTTTTAGTCATTGAAGGGGACATGTTATGTTATCAGGGACATGTTATATTTATTTAAATGGTCCCCATAACGTCAAAACAACATGATCTTTTATCACATTATTGTGACATTTGGTCCCCACAACATATTAAAATACAGGACACACAATGGGTTTCTCCATTCTTGGTGGATTCAGGCCAACAAGATCCCCAAAAGCTGTGGAACACCATCGTATAATTTCACTGCATTGTTCACAGTGTCAAACATTGATAACGATACAATAAATGAGCTGGTATAATGTAAATTTATATTGGACAGACCATTAAAACAAACCGTAGAAACACTCAAATTAAATGTATGTATTTTTGAGATTTTCGCTTAAAGCAGGAGCTGGCTTTTATATGGTTTGCTCTACATCAGTGGAGAACCTGTTATTGCGATTGTACATATCTGTGCAGCTTCTGCCTGTGCTGAAAATCTCACAATTGAAAGCATTACCTTGAGGAGGATGTAGTGAGGTTGCGATAAGCGAACACTCATGCCTCGGTAGTGCAGAAATTCGCCCGTGCCATTTAATCGCGCGCTTTGTGCATTCCTGTCGTGACCGTAAACACCACTGCAGGCCTGTTTCACGGCAACCTTTGTCTGCGAACCCACACATGATTTTTTCATGTTGTTCTGCCCTCGTCCGAAATTCGGTAACCTTTTCATAGCATTTGCCAAGATGTGGCATTCCTGGAGTCGCTACATTGATTCATGACCTCGTCAGCATTTATGACAACTCGTTATAAAACGTATAATTGTAAAAGTATGAGTGCAATCAGTATGTCACTAGCGGCCTGACAAATCAACTTGTCACACATTGCTGGACTTGTTTGGCTCCAACAACCACACAGCTGTTGTCTTAATATTCATTAATAATGGTCATTCATTTGTAAGTTATCTGTGACTTTTATGCAGGCACGTAGCCACGTGCACCCACCCACAGAACAATCTGCCGAGGGTAAAGTAGGATCGCCAGTTTGACTATGGACTTGTACTGTATGTATGATTTTGCAATGGTCTGACAAGTAAGGTATCCCCTGCCTTGTGCCTTATGCATCTGGGAACATGGGAATCACTATCTTGCAGGGCATACGTGGCGATGGACGTATGGATGGATGGATGGATGGATGGATATTATTGTTATTATTATTTGTTATAATCTTTGCGTACCGCCCAGATAACTTGATGCATTTACTCAGATTCAAACGAACGGATAGTCTATACTCTCAAACAGAAGCCTGGAAATTGAAACCTAATGATCAAGCACAATATTTTCAATGGTCAGTTGATAGACACACTTATAGATGATCCTTATCAACGTGTGCCACATGACCGACAGTCCATGGGATATAGGACTTGTCCAGTGTTGCTGGATTTGTTAAAGCGGAATATTTTAGCCGTGATCCAAAATAAAGACTAGCGTGAGTCATACCCTGTGTTAATCTACTACGGAGAAAGAGGCATTGGCTAGACCAAGAGTAGGGGGTGGGGAAAACGGTTTAAAATAGAGATTGGCGTTACATTATGTGTGAGCTCAACGTCCCATGTCCAACGTCCAACGTCCCATGCAGATTCAAACTAAATATACAAATTCAGACCAAATATACACAATGAAAACATATTTCCCTGAATGTTAAGTCAATGAATTTGTCGACGTTTTCTGAAGGAGAGCTTCCGCTTGTCCTAATCTCTACAGCGGCAGATTAATTGTCGATATGACGCGTGAGCTTGCCAACTGAAACAAATTAATTCCATTTATTGCATTGTTACATTGTTGCGGTTCAGTTTAATTAACGTTAATGCACAGTTTATCTCGGCGCTGGCAAACATGTATAACTTCTTTGACAGACTGCCTTTATGCTGGATTTTAAAACAATTTTCTTTCGCGTTAGTCTCTGCAAAAATAATTAGTGTAAAACCAAATAAAAAGTTACCGCCGCCACATAAAAGAGTAAAGCAACTTGTAGACACTTGTAAAAGTATATATGCATGCAATTAGCCTGTATTTGACTAGTCCAGGCTAACGTAAAGAAGAAGAAGAATTTAAATGTTTTGTTTTATTACTGCTAGTTGTTTTTGAAGAGGCAGATTGGCTTTGCCACGATTTTATGAGACATCAGCGTAGCGATGAGTCAAAAAAATAGTCTTTGTCTCTGCTGATGATCTGATTTGGAAGCTCGAACTTTCCTACTGGGTAGCGTTAATGGTGCCATAGTATTTGTTTCGTTTTGTTTCGTCGCGGAGGCGTTATTTCAGGCTTGCAAGCTTCAGGAAAGGACTAAGCAGGCGTCCGCAAGCCCGATCCATTCCTTGTTTTGCCGCACACCACCGTTCCCAGCGGAGAGCAGAGGGGAAACAGCACGGCGGAGAGGAGTGAGGAGACGGATAACGGTACTTAGAAGATCGGGGATGTACAGCAAACACAGGCAGAAAAGGGTCCGAATCGCGCCTACAGAATGCGGATGCAGGATGATTTTGTCCGTCTTATTGCTGTACACCATACTGGGAACTGTGAACGGACACGCCGCACAAGGTAAACCCCCCCGGCGGTCCTCACGCTACTTTCAAAGTTGCTTTATCTACCAGTTGCGTGTAGCGCACGCCGGCGAATGCGATTAAATATTTCCAAAGACGATCCCTTTCTCTTTAGTGTGTCCGATCGTCCTGCTGTTATTACCGCTTTTCTTTTTTATCATTATTATTTTTTAGTATTATTTCTTTTTGAATGCGTGCTGCAGAAAAAGATTCCTTTGCAAGTGGTGTGGTTTTGCGATTTCCATAAAAGGATGGGTACTGAGTCGGGTTCATTCAAGGAGTGGGCTGTTGTCAGATATTAAAGAAGCCACTGTATAGATGTACGACAGACGTTGGCGTGCAGCATATATATATATTTTTTTAATTAAACTTTTGTTCTCATTGTAGCTGTTATTCAGCCCAGTTTAAGATTATGAAGTCAACAGTGGCCAGTCGCTGCACATTTTTGCGTTAACGGGCGTGTGTACGTGTGTTTCTATAAAGGGTAACACTTTTTAAAAAATCTTTATTTATAGGCTTTGATGTAGCTTGCTAATAAACTATTGATATGTCACAATAGCTCATGATACCTTTACGGTCTCGAGTATGTATACTTCTCTCCTGTAAATAAATAGGCTGCGTTAACTTCGTAACTAGCTAACCATTTACGCTGCGTTATTTTAAGGAGCGTTAAAATCGCCCAGAACTGAAGCATTTAGCAAAGGCGAAGTAATTGAAAATCTGACCATGTTGGTCCACCCAGATGCTGATATGATCGCACCTCGGTGTGACAGTTCCACACATGGAAGGGAAACTCTTAAGTCCACCAGTTAATGCCATCCTCCGTATTACCCACGTTTAGGTGTTTCTGCTGAAAATGTATGAAGAGACAAATATTGACTTTGAATGGTTCTTATTGATTGTGGTAACAAGCCTAGGATTTATTAATTTGTATGTGTCAGTATTTTTTTTTACATTTATCATGATTTTTTTTTTTTTGTAAATTTATTATTCAATCCATCATCCATCAGTGGAGCTGCGGCCAGGGATGGTCCTAATTAATTTGTGTCAGCTGAGCCCTACTATGTTGTCTCCTTGCCCACTCCAATCTGGACACAGTGCTAATGTGCTCTGAAGCTGCACGTTGCCATTCCGTCACCAGACACACACCATTTGCCAAGTTTATTAATAATAAGTTGATGGTGTTCTTCACAAGTGACACTCTTGGCTAGATATGTAGATGTTTTTTTTAGGCGGGCAGTTAACCCAGACAGGGGTATTGCAGCTCAGCCCTTCCTGTTGCCCAGCACCTCCCACGTTGCAGCCAAACTTCCCGAAATGCCATGTTGCCCGCGGCCCTGTTGGCACGCACGCCAGCTTCGTCCAGCTCGGTTCCGATTGCCCTGTGCTGCTGGCTAATGCGGAGATCCCTGGAGGGAAGTCAGCTCCGGGGGCTCGAGATGCTGGTCCTCTCTCTCGACTCTCTCTTTATCAGTGTCTGGGATGCTGCCCGGACTCTCGATTGCGAGCGGCGAGCGGCCACAGTGCGCCATGACTTCAGCGTGAGCGTAGCGGGGAAGCTACGGTTCCTGCGTTTCAATGGCAAAATGAAGCATATATCCCCGCTCTGTAATCCCGCATCTGCTCTCTCTACGGCAGGTACAATCCTGATAGCGATCAAGCCCCTTCTAGTCGGCTAAACGTTTTAGAAGATGCTGATGAAATCACTCTGGAATTTGAACCATACGGGATTTGAACCAACAACCTCCTTATCATAGACACAGTGTCCTAACCTGCTGAGCCCCCCAACTGTAGCTAACTTTTCTTGTACGTTTTTGAGTAAAAATGAAAGTATTTGATTACAATACAGTTTTTAGAGTTGTAGCTGTCTCTGCAGGGTCCGGTTTAGAGTTCTCATGCTCTGTTTGCTATTAAACTAATCTGAAGGAAATACCATGTATTTTAGCTTACTTAAAAAGCACTTGCTTGGGGAAAAAAAAACGCACTTTCTCTATCATTTATCTCTTAAGTACCCATACAGAAAATGGCCTGATAGAGAGTTATGCCATTGAATCATACTGTTTTCAAGTGAATTTCAGGGGATTTACTGAAGGGTTCTGTATGGGCTAATGTGTCACAGGAATAAAGTAGATATTTTGTGTTTCTTTGGGTAGGAATCATGTCTTTGAGGACAAAATAGAAAACCGAGAGACTTAAGTAACAATATTTGCACAAATAAGGGCCCAAAGAAATGAAATCTATTACATCTATTCAAGAGAAAGGGGATTCACAACTGGCATGTATTATACAGATGAAATCCTGCAGATTAAGTGTGAATGGTGTAAGCAGCCCCTGATCATCTATATAAAAAATCTATTTCCAAAGGACACTCCCAGTTCGGAGTCGGAGCCACAGGACGTGCGCATGTTTAATTCCCAGCTGCCGTTTGGCACCTGGCAGCACAAGTGACAGAGAAACAACTGCGTGTGATTATATACATTGACAGTGTGTGTCTGTCAGCAAGTTTGTTTGAGGTTTCCGAAGTATCAGCGTAAAGTGGTTTCATAAGAACTGAAAAGTGCGTAACCTGCGTCTGAAAATATTTCGGAAGCATTTTCTGTAGCTTGATGCTTCAATTATTATTTTCACTCAGTTTTTCAACTTGAAATTGGCTTCGAACTGTGGATACAGACATACAGTGCCAGCCGGCTTCCCTCCGCCCTGCACTCTTTATGATACGCTTTGATATACAGTCATGCGTCGCATAACGACGGGGATACGTTGTGAGAAATGTCGTTAGATGATTTTCCGTTGTGAGAACATCATAGAGTGTACTTACACAAACCTAGATGGTAAATCCTACGACACACCTACACTATGTGCTGAAGCCTAAATAACGATTACAAATACACTAGAGTGAATGAATAAACCATTAACATAGTTGTTTATTATCATTATCATACGTGATTGTACAGTATGTGCTATGCTTTTACATGACTGGCAGCGCAGTAGATGTGTTTATAGCAGCATTACCGCAAACGTGAGTGATGCATTGTTACGACGACTATGATGTCATTTTCAGCTCCATTGTGCCTTTATGGGACCACTGTCGTATATGCAGTGCGTTGTTGACCAAAGCATCATTATACGGCAAATTTATATTTGATTCAAATGTATCTACAACAATATTTGCACAAATAATGTGGCAGGGCCCAAAGAAATGATCTACATTTGAATCAAGATGCTACGCGCTGTGCATGTAAACTATTAAAACGTGTTTAAATGACCACTTTTGTTTCACTTTAGTTGCAGATAAGCTGAAACTTTAACCGTTCATGACCCGTGAGGCTCAGATACGGTTTTACTTTCTGTCCTGACCCTTTTAGAGCCTATTTCAGAAATAAACCACTGCGCGCTCTTCATAAGCCCGTGATACCGACGTGCGGGTCCCATGAGCTGGAACAGTCCGGAAGGACTCTCGAGACCCCGGACGTGAAAATGAACCTAGCATCAGGCCAGAGCCCTCTCACGCAAGATTTTCATTTTCGTATTCCATAACGCGTCTGAGGCTGTGACTTTAATTCGGCCTCTCGCTGCCACTGAAACGTCCCCCGTCACCCTGGCTACGGGGGCCGCATGATGTGGACCGTTATGCATGTGGACGGGGGGTGCTGTGCAGCCCTGTGGATTAGGGTGCTGTGCCTGGTATCGGAAGGTCGCCGGCTCAGATCCCTGGGTCGGCAAAGTGAGTCACCATTGGGCCCTTGAGTACCCTCCCCCTCCTATTGGCTCAGGGACTGGGTCACCCTGCTTTAAGACCTGTCCAGCAGAATCCTGCAGAAAGCTAACACTCGTCTCTTCCCGTCCCGTCGCGTAAGAGGGTGAAAATGAGTCTGTGTGGGTTTGTGTTGCTGTCGTTACATATTTATGCTCTGGCTGATGTTTGTCTTGGGACACCTCTTGCGGGACACACCCTGCCCCCCCCGAGGGAGTCAGCATGTCTTATGTGCAGGTCATGACTGGCCGTTTGAGAACACTGGCAGTGTTGGCCGTCCAGCACTGCAGCTGAAAGCCCAGCTGCATCGGGGTGTCAGACAGGGACCACTAAGAGATCCGATAATTCATCTAGCTGCGAAAAGCTCCACGAAAACATATGTTTGGCTGCAGTTTAACGCGTCTGACTTTGCTGAAGGGCAGCACATGTGCACATTTATTTATTTATTTATTTTGTGGAGGCGGAGTGTACAACTGAATGCCAGACATCTGGATTACAGTCCAGTCTCTTGTCCATTACAGATACTTCCCCATGTGATTTCTGCTGTTCTTCTTTTGGCCACATACTCCATTGTGAAATATTCCTTGCTTCCTGCTGTGGGCTCTACACACACACAAATACACACAAACACACACACTCACACCCCACCCTGAAGCGTGGCAATGGGGCAGAGTGAACTCGCACACGTTTGAGAGCCTGGTCCCACGCTTTTGTCACTGTAAACATATTTTCAAGGGACGATAAAAAGACAGACAGTGAATATTGGTGGGGAAAAAAAATAGGCTTTATGAATCGTTGCTAGGTGCTTAATCTGTATGGCTACAGTAAGCATCAAGCTGTTTAGAATATTTAATATATTTAATTTTTTGAAAAACATCTGCCAAGGCAGATTAATTGCAGTATGTTCTTTATATACTGTATTTAAATTTCACATTTGGCTGATATACTGAAATCAGGTCAAGATTTCATAGAAAGCAAATCGTATATAATAATGTCACTTTATAAGGCTGATTCAATCCTTTGTTAACAAGCTAATTATCTTCTGTATCTTTAGAAGGGGGTACTTGCATTCATAATTAATACCTTCCTTATCTTGTGATTTTTATTTATTCTTCTTATTATATTTTAGTATGTTCTCTGACTTGAAACCAGTCTGATTCCACACTGCTTCTCATCTTAATAGGCACTGCTTTCATGTAATGTAGCTCAGGGGTGACCTATCGACCCCCCCCCCCCCCCGGAGC